ATGTGCTTCTTTTACACAGATCCAGGACAAGCACTGTGTTTGTACAGGATAGGGGTGGGCAGAACCACCAACTGTGCTCTACCTGGAAGAAAGATTACACAGTTACTGATTCCTACTTGTCTTAGTTAGGGTTTCTATTGCTATGAAAGGACATGGAGACCATGGCAACTCACGAAAAAAAGTACATTTAATTGGGGCTGTCTTACAGCGTCATAGGCTTAGTTCATTATCATCATGGGGGCAGTGGCTGCATGGCAGCACGCAGGCAGACAGTGGTAGCTGAGAATTCCATATCTGGGTCTGAAGGCAGCAGGAAAAGAGAAACCCACTAAACCTGGCTTGAACATTTGAAACCTCAAAGCCCATCCCCAGCGACTTCTCCAACAAGGCCATGCCTACTCCAACAAAGCCACACCTCCAGTAATGCCACTGTCAGTCTTTGGGGGCATTTTCATTCACGTACTACTAAACACTTAAGAGTTGCCTCTGCAGCTGTCTGCAATAGACAGGATTTTCTGGGCATACATTCAGAGACCCAGCTCCATGAGGCCACCCAGTGCTTCTGGGTTTCTAAGTCCTTTTTCTTCCATCATCAGTTGTACTCCTTTTTAGTTTTATTTTTAAAAATACATGTTTGTGTGTTCGTGAGCCTATGCAGGGTTGTCGGCACAGGCGTGGAGGTCAGAAGACAATGGGAATCAGTTCTCTCCTTCCACCGAGGGGATTCTGGGCATCGAACTTAGGTCATCAGGCTTGGCAGTAGGCAGCATCTCTCTGCACTCTGCTTTTTAACTCTTATCATGATTTTAGTTTTAACAAATCATAAGAATGAAGAGCTTCTGTCTCCTACCATTTGACCAGTTGAATGTGTGGGCCATGATGTGACCCAGATGCTCCTCTGGTCCATCCGTGTGGGGTGACGTGCATTCGCAGGCTGTTATTCAGGGTCTAATCCATTTTCCAGCCTCAGTTCCCAATAAACAGCAACTATTACTCTTATTTTACAGAGGGGATGGCACCACCCACAGTGGACCGGGCCTTTCCACATCAATCATTAATCAAGAAAATGTCCTATAGGCTTGCCTATTGGTCAGTCTGATGGAGACATTATTCAGTAATGGTTTACTCGTCCCAGATGACCCTAGCTTATGTCAAGTTGACAAAAACTGAGCAGCACACCCATAACAAAATGTCGCATAATTTGGCAAAGATACACCAAGCAGAAAAAAGGAAATGAATGCATCTCCACATTGGTAAAAACCCTCCTAATAACTCTGATCTAATAAATTTTAGTATTGCCAGTGTTGAGATTTTTAGGTTTTGACAATGTACTGTATAAGAGCTCTCTACTGTGCGGAGCTGGATGCTGGGTGTGTGAGACCCTCTAGATCTGTTTTGATGTCTTCCTGCGAGTCTGTCACTACTTCCTAATATAAGCACATGCATTAAACCAGCACAGTGATTTGTGGCCTGCCCTAGATCAATCACTGCCAGGTTGAGTCTCTTGCCTTCCCTCCTCTGATAATCCACAACCCCACCCTTCAAAAATGAGTCCCATCCGCTGTCTGTCCGCCAAGCTACACCTTTCCCAGGTAGAGCACAAGCCACAGTCAACATTTCTAGGAAGCTGCTAAGTGTGCTTGATAATCGGAGAGCAAGCCCCTTCCCCAGCACAGGAGTAAACACATACTCCTAAGCCAATTCCCAAAACAGCATTCTACCCCCCCTCCTGGACTTCACTGGGTTGCATACAGTTTTTCAGAAGCAAGAAACTTGATAGTCAGGGCAGGAGAACTCTCTGAATAATAGTGTGTGGACTGAAGTCTCTATCCCCAGGAGCCTAGTAACCCACAGCTCGTAGATTAGTTGGGTGACCCCATGCTCCCCCTGGATGTATATGTCCTGGTTTTATTCTTATTAGCAATGGCAGCTAAGTGCTGTATTTTGAAGAAAAAAAGTGGAGGGGAACCGAAAGATAACCTACCAATTTTAAGTTACACATAGAGAGGAATGTGTGGGTCACTTGGCTCCACCATCATTTTCCTTGGATTGCTTTGGGGTCACCATCTGGGAATGTTCTCCCTGTTTTATGGAGAAAATATGTACATGCATTTTCATAATGTGGAGCATGTTATCCTTTGGGGTTTCCAGCAATGAATGATGCCTTAACAAATGCCTGACTTTCCTTTGTGATGTAGTTGCATTTTGTTAGGAGTCTGTGTATTGCAACGATTGTCTTGCCCTGGGTAAAGGAAAACGGGAAGCATGGGAGTTAGGGGCTGTGGCTAGGGGCTGACAGTCATCTGATTGTTCTAAAGGTCCAATCAAGTACTTAAGTGCTATCATGTACGCACAAGATTGTGGGGTAATCCAAGTCGACTATCAACACATTTTAGATGTTTAACAGAATTTTTACCTATTGGATAGATACCAGTTAGTGGACAGAAGGATGAACAAACAAACAAGCCAACAACTAGAAAGCTGTATCATTTTGATACCACGGTGCTTTGCACAGATGTGACCTTACTCAACTTTCCTCAGGCGCCATGGTGGCCACTCAGGTATCTCTTGTGTCTTTCATCTGTCTCTGCAGCTTTGGCTCACTCAGAACTCCTGACCTTCCTTCCATTCCCTCTTCCTTTTTGGTAATATGGGCCCACACCACCCATTTTATTTTTAGTTATGTGTAGGTATGTAGGTAATGTACCTGTGAGTGTAGGTTTTTCACTGACACCAGAGTTGTTGGATCCCCTGATTGGAGTTACAGGTGGTTGTGAATCACCGTCGTGGGAGCTGGGAACTGAAGTCAGGTCCTGTTCTTTCTAGAGTGAGGGCTATGACTGAACCTTATGTGGCCTGCCCGGCTCCAGGATTCCCTGACGTAGGAAAACTGAGAGCGCTCTCTGCTGACACCCCTGCTTTCCTGGGTCCCGTAGATGCTTTCCTTCCAAGTCAGCAACATTTTAGTGTTTGCCATTGTCACCCCAACTTTGGAGTTTTTGCATTCAAGAGATGGATCTTATCACAGCCACTGACATGCTGTTGTATCCAGGGAAAGCACTTAATCACTCTGTTCCACTTTTTCCTAAACCTGGGCTCTGTTAGTAACCGTGGCCTGGGTCCTATAGGACCTAGTGTCAGTGAGCTGATCTGATGTGGCCTTCAAAGAGGACCAAAGTCAATCACATCACGTATCCATCCCTCTTACTGGCATGTGGCATTAGCATAAGAACTTGATACAGGAGATGCCTCCTCCTAGTTAAATTGACTGAGCATCTTCTGTTTTTCTAGGACACTCAGCTGACAGCTCCGTTAGGACTCATTAATAGTGAATTCACTTTTTGTAAATCAGGAAACTGAGGCTCAGAAACATTAAATGTTCTGAAGTCGGTATGATTTCTGTGGACTTGGTCTTTGCTCACAGCTTATGAGCTGGGTTAGAGCCCAGTATAGAGGTGGCCAAGCTAAGCTGGCTACCGCTCAGCACAGACCGGATCCACTCACAAGTACGACAGCCTGCATTCGCTTCACGGCATTGGAGGGGTCCTGCTATTCTCTTTAGTCTGACTTAGGCATCACAGTCTAGACGAGAATTCCCAAGTTTGCCATTTGTTTCATGAGCTTTCTATACCTGAACAGACAGGTAATACTGTACGTTCTTGGAAAAATTAGGTAGGTCTCAGAAAGAGTTGGCATTTAATCTTATTCCCCACAGTTCACCCAGAGTTAAAAGTATAGAATACTCCATGAACATAAGGTCTCAGAAGAATAGCCCTGGGGTCTGTCCATGCAGGATCCTGCCACCAAGACCATGTCCACTAGGGCTTGGCTGGACCCGATCCCAATCCCTCTAGGAAGGCTGATTTGGGGCCACTCTTTCCCCCTTCTTTGCTCTGTGGTCTCTTTTAAATTGCCGCCCTGGAAAGTCAGGGGAAATATTCTCAGCTGTTCAGTATTTTTTTAGACGTATTTTAAATGTGTGTTTGTGCACGCATGCACACATGCACTTACACAAGTGCAGGTGTGTTTCTGTGGAGGCCAGAAGAGAGCATCAGATCCCCTGAGGCTGGAATCACAGGCATGCGTGAACTACTGAACATGGGTGCTGAGAAGCACACTCTGGTGCTCTGTAAGAGCAACAAGTGCTCTCAGCTGCTGAGCCATCTCTCCAGTACCTTGCTGCTGCTGGTGTTGCTTTTGGTGTAGACTCTCTGACTGGCTCAGAATTTCTGAGTAAACAGTGCTGGCTGATTAGCAATCCCCAGGGATCCTCCTGTCTCCGCCTTTCCAGTGCTTGGACTACAAGGCATGTGCCATCACATCTGGGTTGTAATCACACCTAAGTTCTCGGAATCAAAATCACATCCTCTTGCTTGTGTGGCAAGCAATTTTCGAGCTGATCATTTCCCCAGCCCTGCCCTTAATTTATTTGGAGTCACAAAAACGTCTCACCATGTTGCCTCATTTGGCCTTAAACTCACCCGGTAGCCCAAGCTGACCTGAAACTCACGACCAGCTGGGGTGTCAGGATTGCATGTGTGCTGGACCACCACCCCTGGTTGGATTGACCTTAAGGGTGATGCAGGCTTAGTGGAAGTGTTTCAGAACCTGGGTGGAGTCTTTTTGAGATCACAGTATTGTCCATTGCATTGCGGCCAGGCTTGCTCTTGGTCTCCCGCCCCCATAGATGTAGCTCTTTGGAGCACATATTTAAAGATAACATGAACTAGAAAACTCCTTGGAGCCTCTTCCACGTACTGAGTGAAGCCATGCACAACCCCCAGCCTGGAACTCCAGCCGAGTCCCAGCCTCACATGCTCCCCGGACTTGGCAGTAAAAGCTGTGTTCTTCCATCCATTCTGATGATGTATAGTCTCTCTGGGCGTCTAATATTAAACAGGGGAATTCCGACATGTTCCATAACGCATTTACTGTAACTTGATACCACGAACTATACTTGCTGTTATTTATCATTTCTTTTTTATTTTCTCTCGTTCCAGCACAAAGCCAAGGTAGAAGCAATGACCCTGGACCTGGCTGTGCTCCGCAGCGTGCAGCATTTTGCTGAAGCGTTCAAGGCCAAGAATGTGTGAGTGTTTCAGTGCGGGCTTATACATCATAATTGCTCGCTATCGTAATGTCTTTATCAGATGAACACTATCAGGAGAACGCAAGGCTGCAGTGCTGTCTTGGCATCCAAACCGGAGGCTCATTTATATTGGCACTGTTGAGGTGGACTGTATTTGCTTGACTCTGAGTCACCCTCGTTATGAGATGTGTCATCAATCTACTAACAGCTTCACAGACCAAAAAGAAAAGAGAAGACAATATTAAAGCACACAAGGCTGCTCCACATTAGGGCAGTTTTAAGATGTGCCCCATGACAAACTTGTGTATCTCTCCGAATCGAGGAAAGGTGTACCTCAAGGGGCATCCAGGAACCTCACTTATTCTGTACGGCCAGGGTTGAAACCCGCGGCATGCTTTCTTCTAGTGCTCATCAGGCCTTTGATGCGTTGACATGGGTGTAGCTGTGGACACAGATGCAGGCTGCAAGACCTCGGGGCCTTTCCAGCCCCTGGTGCCTCCTCATACCCACATTCCTGGTTGGATCTTGCATTCGCTTTATCTGCTGACTTCAGAAGTGAGGATTCTTCATCAGCCCTTAAACATGCCTTAGTTAGGGGGGCTGTATACTCTAGTACCCTCCAGAAACTTCCCTTCCCTACCAAGAAGAAGTCAGAGAAAAGAAAGGAAGAAGGAAGGGGCAGGGAGGGCATGAAGCAGACTCAGGCTTCATGCTAATGAAAGCAGTGGTGGCTCGCAATGCTGTAATTATAGTATTTTGTTTCCAAGGTTTATTTTTATGGTTGCTTCTATAGGGCAAGCAGTACTAGTTTCTCATTAACCATAGTGGCTTTGGTTTCATTAATAAATAACTTCACTTAATTTTATTTTCCATTGAGGTGACTGAAGCATGAGGAGTAAGTTAATCATAGCCCCGGTGGTGCCAAGGGGGAAATAATGGCATGAGCAATTCCAACATGCCTGGACTGGTAGGGCTCAGACTAGGCCATGCTGAAGTTCCCTGTGCGCATGAGAGGAGCTGGGAAGGGATCTTCAATCAGGCATTCAAATACTGCTGTGCTACCTAGCTTCTCTTCCTGGGTCCACTCTGGTCTTTTAGACCATCTCAGTACTTGATCTTTACTAAGCAAGTGAGTGGACTGATTCCTGGGGCAGAGTGTCCTGTTCAGAGTACTCCAGACTTGTATTATTCCCAAGGGAAGACCCTTCACTGACTCATAGGCAGAGCTAGATCCACCCTTGGCCTTGTCAATCAGAAATGTGAGCCCTGCCACATGCTCTTTCTGGTGCTGTGTCCTCGCTAGCTGCCATCTATCAAAGGGGCTGGAGAGCAGGAATAGCAATGGCTCTCCCATTTTTTCATCTCATCCTCATCCTTTGTTTGTCTACTTACCAGGCATTTGCCAAGCACATCCGAATCCCCAGACATTCTTCTGGGAGGACATCGCTGGCCACTGGAGCCAAGGTGACCTCAGCCAAGATGGCCACGGCCTTAAATGTCAACAAGCCATATTTTATTACTGATGCCAACTCCTCATCCCAATAGGTCTGTAGTTGCAGAGGGACAAAATTACTAGCCACCCCAGCAGCAGAAGTAAAAGCTCATTTTGGGGGGTTCACTTGGGGCACATGCATTTAGAATGCCTTGCCTGCACCTTCTGATTCAGTTCCGAAATCACTTTCATGGAGGGAGTGATTGTATCCAATATGCAGATGAGAAAGTGAGGCTAGAAAGATGGGTCAGGAAATGCATAGACAGCATTTGGTAAAAGAACGGCCTCAGGCCCCATGTGGCCCATCACACCAGGGTTCCCTCTGATCTCCTGTGTGCTACCATCTTTAATATAAAGACAATAGAAACTCAAACTCAGAAAACTAGTGAGTTTCTTAGGAACACTCGGCAGCTGATGGCACATGGAGAATTCTGTCTATTCCAACTTCTCCTTCCTCCCTGGTACCCACTGCCCTGATTAGGTCTCAAAGTGTGTGTCTTTGCTGAAGAGAGCTGACTGATCATAACCCCGTTCTCAAAGCTGTCATTAGATTTTATCCAGCAAATAGTTCAGAAACCATCACACCTGAGGGCCTTTTATAATCATGGACCCAAACTCTTGGAGGGAAAACTCGCCCATTCTGCACTAATCTTTGGTTGCCAATACTTGTATGTTCAGGCCCAGGGGCAAGGTTTCCCTTAGACTAAGGCTTAGGACCTGTGCTGCCTGTGCCTTAAGAGTCCAGGGTTGCTCACAGCGTGGAGAAATACTGCCGTACTCAAAGTATGTATAAAACAGTGAGTGATTTTCCCTTTTGACATACTGCCAGTTCCGAAATCTCCCCTGGAAAGGCAAATGACAGCTCAGTGCTAACGGTCTCCGGATTCAGAGAGCTGTCAGAAGTGAATTTAAGTGCCGGTGACCAGGCTGCCAGAAAAACATGTGTAACTCTAGCCTTATCATCACCTCCCATCTTTGGACATTAAAATTTCCTCGTGTGTAAAACATAATGACAAATGAAAGCATGCCTGCCAGTTCAGAACCAGTTCCTTTTTTGTGTGCAGTTGGACCAAAGAAAGGAAAAGCCCTCTGACGTGAATTCCACATGGGCGCTCCATTATGCTCCACTGAATGGGTTTGTTCACAGCCTGCACACGAGCTCTCTGGAATACCATCAGGCTCCATGCAGTCCTCAGTACAAGTGTGACCTCGCACCTTGGGATGGGCAGTGCATTTATGGTGTCACTTGAGGATGGTGAAAATGACAGGCAAAGGCAGAAACACTGGTGGAAAATGTGGCCTGTCACGTGCTGCAGAGCTGGCCTCTCCCTAACCTGGGCAGACTTGAAATCTGCCTCCCCCGTAGATGACTTCTCTTTGGAGGCTAGGGTAGGCTGGGGAGGAGAGGACCAGTACAGAGCGAGCATGGCTGATGAGGGTTATGGAAGCAGTAGGGACAAGCCAAGCATTTCTGTTAACGCTTTTCCTGTTCTGTGTGTGTGTGGGGGGGGGGGGGGGTGTATGTGGCAGCCAGAGGCTGACATTGGATGCCTTCCTCAGTCACTCTCCACTTTAGTTTTTGAGACAGGGTCTCTTCACTGACCCTGGAGTTGGCTGTTTGGCCAGGTTGGTCTGTCAGCGAGCTCCAGGGCTCCTCCTATCTCTGCTTCCCCAGCGCTGGGGTTACAGGTGTGTCTCGCTTTGTCTCTCACATGACTCTCACATGACTGGTGGTTTGCTTGGGAATGCCCTCCATCAGCTTCTGTTTGAATGCCACCAGTTGGTAGGACTGTTTGGGAAGGATTAGGAGTCATGGCCTTGAAGTGTGTTAGACGGAGAATCTGAACACAAGATTGTCTGCCTCCAGGCACATAGAGGACACGTGACCACTTGCCATGCCTGTTCTCTGAGGTCCTGTGTTCTACCTGCCCAGTCTGCCTCCTCCACTTGCTTGCTCATTGTCTTTTTCATCCATTTCTTCTGTTATTCTCTGCTACCTCTTCAGGGTGGTCAGCTCAGGAACCTCAGTCTGCTTCTCGATACTTCTTGCCGGAGTTTGTGATGGTAGTGGTGGTCAGCCAGTGTGTCTCAGGCCAAATTATTCTGGGCATTACTGGAAAGTTCCAACCCAAAGACTGTGGCAGTTTCCCACCAAGTTGAATTTTTTAAAAAGATATTTTGGGTTAAGTTGGCGTTCAGGAAGGAAGCCAGACTCCACAGTGCTGGTAGGCAAGGGTATCTGTCAGTGGGGAGCAGCTGGGACAAGTCCTCTTGTGATCACCCAGGCTGCTCATCTGGGTACCCTGTGAGAGACTCCAAAGCCTCCACTTGGTGATGGCTTCTTGTGTGCTCTCAATCTGGCTGTAGCTGTTTCATTTACCAAAATAGAAAGCCTCCATCTTGAAGCCCAAAACAGCTCGGCGTTCCAAGGACGAGATGTTCCAGAAGCATGTTCTTTCTCACTAGCGTTCTGTCATTCCCAATAAAATGGAAGGCTATACTCCAATCCTGCAATTTTAAAAGCTGGGAATGGCCCACCATAAAGGACATGGGTTACTGGGCTTCCTGTTGCCAGCCAGCTCTCATTGGCCAAGGGCTTCATTCGTCCTCAAAGAGAGCTGCAATTGATAGAAAATTCATATTAACCTAGTTGTGCAATTCTGAAGGCTTCTAGAACTCCCTTTTTCATCATGGGTTTCTATTTCTTGTCTCAGCTTTCTGTCTCCAGTATAATTTAAATAAATTAGGCTTCATTTCACCAAGAAAATCATACTGAAGTGTGTTTTATTTAAAGGTTAAAATAAAAGTTTTCTAGCCTTTACTTATTAAACATTTGAGGAGAAAAATCTTTAGCAAAGTTGTTTATTTTTACTCCCCACTAGAAGACGTTCAGAACTTGAGCTACTAACCCGGGACATTATATTCTTGGATTCATATTCCAGAGTTCTGTCTCTTTTCCATCTATAGAAGTGGGTGGGCCATAAATTATTAAATAAAACCCAAAATTTGAGGGCTAAATTACCCAGAAGACCAGTGTGTAAATTACAGATTGATCTTCCCTTTCCTCCCGAGCTCAGCTTGGCGAATAATGTTTTAGCCAACATTTCTGCATCAGTCTTTGCTCAACATGAGACATCCATCCTGCTCCGTTTACACTGGGACCCTGGTGCCTCGCTTTCCCTCACAGTGTGAAAACTCGAGGAGAGAAAGTGCCGAGGCTCATTTCCACTGCAACAGATGCTCTCCGTTCAGATCTTTGTTATGATGTCTCGGGAAGTTTTATGAAGTCTACCAGTTCATTGTTCTTCTACTCTATGTATTTTTCATCTTAAATCATTGAAAAACCACATTATGGGCCATTTAATACATCTAGAAACACCAGGGAGCATTGTGTCTCTTACAAGCTCTTTTTTTTTTTTCTTGTCTACTTAACTCTTTGGGTGTCAAATCTTTTTACATTATAATGTTTAAAAACATCTCAAAAGTATATCATGCAGTAATCTTGTAT